GATTGGAACGTCTTGTCTAAACGTTCCTACATCTCATCATATCTATGCCTGTTATCTATGCCAAAACGATTGCTAAAGATTAACTAAAAAGATGGAGCACACAGAGAAACGATCGTGAGGAGATATTAGTACCTATAATCACCCGCCTCCCTACAACACCCACCACCCTCCCCTTCTCCCCCCTCTCCCCTTCCCTCATCTTTTTACCGACCATCACCGTTTTTTATACAATTTAACTACCGTAGAACAAACTACAGAGAGATGTTTATTCTGAAACCGGTTTCAGAACTGTTACTCGCATGATTGCAAAATCAGGATGGATGACACAGAAAAGTTGTACTATTCTAGTATACTCGAAAATAGTAAATCTCTATAAAAGTCTAGTAAACAGCCCAAGTATTGGAAGTACAGTTTATACGGTTTGGTTTTAACTAATTTCAATAACTATTCCAATCGATATAGGCATATTTCGCTTTCTTACTAGGTTTGGTTGTAGGAAAAATCGAAAAAATATGGTAGATTTGATCTGAATAGTTCTCTGGAACTAGTAACCAACTAGTTCCACGTGACTATGGTTGAGCAACCAACGCTCAAGAAGTTGAGCGAACATTACACTTAAAGAGCCAAACCAGTTTATCTGCTATTTTAAACACTTTTGATGAAATAGTTCAGCAAAAATGAAAGGATAGTTCGAAAAGGTACGATCTAATCAGTTCAGCAGCACTTATTCAAATGTACTTTGTAAATAAATAAAACAACTATAATTGAAGCACCCATGAAGTGCAGCACTTTTAATTACAAGGTGAGGTCGCAGCTGCAGACAAATTGGTACAGTCACTAAGTCTCGCTGGAGCGCGAAATTTACAGCACGTACGTGCGTCACTGCTTGTTCCCTTCACCCAGACAGGAAATCGGGCAAATAAATGAATTAAGATCTGGATTACTGTAACCAGGATAGACAATGATGTCAAATTAAATTTTGCTCGATGGGTAATGTGCAAATACATTTGTTTTATTCCTTTCTAGATGGTTGGCTCTGTTTTCAATCTCATTGTAGAGTTGTTGTGGCAGTAGCACTTTCAAAAGTACCCTTCACTAAATCTATTTTCACATTCACTTAGGCGATGAGAAAAACAGGAAAGACCAAGGCTCCAGTTTCAATGGACGGGGAAGCCTGCGAGAGCCGAAGTTTAAGGACGATGCAGGGTATGAGGGGGTTGGCACGATTTTCTACTGTGCTCTGTGAAGGATATGTTCAATAGATTTCCTATCGAATTAAAGAATTAGTAGCTGTTTAATAGGAAGAGAGAGGGCAGTGAAATGTGTCCCGCTTACGATCAGGAGTGGGTATATGTTCCGGATGACCCAGCCATCCCGTACCCCAAGGTCAGTTGGTTGAAAATATCTTAACTGACTTAAAAGATTGTCTCAAACAGATATCGTGCTCCCTTCCGTGTAGACCTGGGATCGAAAGGTTTCTTCACGTGCTATGTCGTTCAGGTGTTTCCCGATGGATTAGCTTGAGCTGGTGGTAGGGGGATTGATCGATAAAGCTATATCCTAAACTTTCCAGAATAACGTCTCGTTTGGCACGTCCACCAAACAGATCGATTAGAGCGACTTGAACGTCAGCATGAAGCGTTTTCTATAGAAATTCTTGTCACTGCTTATTACCCAACTTCTAACAATGGTGATCTGACGGTAAGTGAGTTGAAAGTGCATCAGCCAATCCCCTCTGAAAGGAGTCTACTGCACCACCCGTGGATAAGTTTTTGGCCTTTGAAGTGAGTCGTAGCGACCTTCCACTGAACGTCAGCACTGGCTAAGGACCCCGGAGAAGGGAAAAGTTGATTAGTAGGAGTGAACAACATGGTTGATTTGGGCGAGTAATGAGGCGGATCTGACACGAATGATAGGGTGTTATTGGCCTCTCAATCTGAAGAATCAGCTTGGACACTGCCTCGCTCCTACTACTCACTACATAGGTAAGGCACAGCCTGGTACCTACCACCCGAATGTAAGTGCAGGGGTTCGAGGGTGCGGTAGAAAGCAGACGAGTTCAATAGTAACCAATTCATCAGTTTAATCTTTGATAATGAAAAAAGACAAGTCACTGGTGCGTGTGCCACGCGAGAAACCAGTTTAAAAGAGAGGCAAGTAATAGGAGACACGAACCGAGGACAGGGTTTAGGAGCACGGCCTCCCACTATGGTACTTTATGTTATTCGCTGCTCCTGAACTGTGAACGGCTAAGGTGCAACTCCCCGTCTAGATCACGTAAACAACAGTGCAGGCCAACGACTAGGGAGCGAGCACTGCGACATCGGCGGTCCCAGGCAGGATGACAGCCGGAGCACCGCCTACTGTTATGGCACTCGATGTTATCGAACTGTGAACAACTAAGGTGCAGCTCACGGTCGCTGTCACGGCAATAAATAACAGTGCATACCAGTAAACAAAGCGAAGACGGAATAGTAGAGCCGCAAGCAATTGAAGGCAGGAAGGAGAAGTGGAACAGCAACGAATGTCGTTGAGAATCGATGCAGACGTGACATTGGCCGAATGCACTTTGAGCGACAGTCACGTTGGATATGAACGCGCGCAGCAATTTTCCCTGGCCAGTGGGAAGCCTCCAGCCCCTAAACACTTCTGCTGTTATCGTTTACTGCAAGAGTTTCCCATACAAAAACAGTAATCGTTGCCCACGAAGACAAGTCTAATACCTGCGTAGGTGACTACAAAACAAAACGAATCTGAATTTGGGATCCGGCTGTCGCTGTGCTTCCCTCAGATCTGCGGATAAGTGTGCAATGGCCTAGGGGGAAACAGGGCAGCACCAGGACCATTGCCACATTTATGAGAGAGGATTAATTGACTTATGGTTACCAGCTCAGGCCAGCCCAGAATTCTATATCGGGTACTCCATTAGGGTAGGACTTGTGGGAGAGTAAAGCCTGCGTGTGATGGTTTTTCGCAATTGTTTGCATGGGACAAAATGCATTGAAAACCATCAGGATTTCACATGCAATTCGAATACGTGGTCACATCTCAAACCGGAATCGATTAGTGCCAAGAACTAACCACTTTTCTTGAATCCGGTTAGAGCACGCATTTTGCTGTACTATATAAATAAATAGTTCAATAAACAAGTACTTGAACACAACTTCACTTTCAATATAAAATAAAATCTTTGGTCTGCACCACAGAAACCATAAAAAGCGCCGGTGCTTCAGTGCACCATAAAAACTGCTATGTTTGATGCCACACATCTTCAATGTTCCTGCATCTCTAATCGAGTATGCCTTATGCTTACTCTTTTGGATCATGTAGCATTTCCCATTGGCAGCTCGCTTTTGATATAAGCCATGCAACTGACTCCCGCTNAATTTTTTTTTTCAGGTCACGTGCTGGTTCGTACGGGATCCAAGAATATGGTGCAGTATTCGTAAAAGCAGTACATGGATGTTTCAGCAATGTCGTTGGTTTACCCATATACAAGGTCCATAGTGCTTTAGTCAACAAAGGAATTCTATAGGAATAAGAGTCATCTTTTTATTAACTATTCTCTTGCTCAATTTTGTTTATTAGGAAATGAAGTTGTTTTCCCAAGAAACTATTCTGATTGCTACATTTGACTTGATGATCCTATCAACCGCTGTTATTTCGCCGCCATACGTGAGTCAGTGACTTCGCAAGGGGACCCTACAAGCTTTTCTAATGGTAAGAGCCTTTCAAGCTCACTACTCTACGAGGGCACTAAAGTAGTTCCCAAACGCCATTGCAATAATTCGATACATAACACTTCTCTCAAAGATTCATTAGTACCTGATAACAGAGCTAGTTAATAACTATTGCTTGGCCATAGGCTGAAAACCGTTTTGTCGTAGTGCTTAATCCCCCGAACTTTCTAGCCTTCTTGAGTGGGTGAGCTGCACCATCCGTCCCTGAACTCGAAGGTTCCAGACTAACAGTCACAAGTACTTCAGTTTCGAGACCGGGCNGTGTTGTTCTAAGTTCGATCGTAGGCTGATTGCCCAGGATACACAACTCGTGGTCTCTGGGTGATAAATGATACGATCAATGATGTTGTAGAAGTTCAACATGAGAACGGTTAAAACAATAAATCACACAATGCACCAGAAATCGAATTACGGAGTCATGGAAATTCCCCACGATAAATTCGGAAGACAGTAAATTTAAAGCTACAGAATGGAGGGGGAAAAGAATGGGGACAAGCAGTGCCTTGCACAGCCCAGCTGTGCCTTCCGTTATCAGTTACGAAATGAATAGGCTGCGAGTGCTCCCAGTTCCCCTGTGGGAACGGTAGATGTCTGCTCACATAAAACAGATCATGAGTGATTTTTCCACCATATCCAATCGCTCAATCGATACCACATGCCAGGAGTACCGAACTCACTAATCAATAATCATAAATCGCTCGTACGAATCTTCATATAGAGTGATATGGCAAGTTAAATCTGTTTGTGAATAAAATACAGGATAGTAACGTACAACATCACAATAAACAAATGAATCTAAACGATATGCTGACGAAGTTTGTTCACTCGTAAAACATCTAGTAATAGTAGTAACAGTAATAAACTACGACGAAGGGTATTTTTCTAAGGAGTAAATAACATAATCAGTCAATAAGTACACTGGGAGATGGACATGACAGTTAGAGATTGAACAAATAATTATAAAAAATACAATTACAACAAACGTATATAGGTTAATGAACAATAAAAACCATTTGAACTAATGATTACCTAGAATATAAATAGATCTATTCCTCGACTTAGGGGATAAATAGGAAACGGTATGGATTAGCAGACGCCATCGAAATTGTCAGGAACCAGGTCAACATGGATGCGATATACATGGCTAGTCTTGTCAGGACCCTTCATCTTACGTGGATTGATGAAGTACAAATGGTCCCGCCACGAATAGCCTTCGTCGCTGCACCTGGTGTCCCAGAATCAGCGCCCAGGCGCTTCCTGACCCATTTCCGTTGGAAAATGCAACGTATATGTCATGATGAAGATAGTAAGTACATTATATATACAGGTCAAGGTTTGACTAGAAAATAAAAGGGAAAAGTGAATCAGATAGATACTAAGAAGGAACCTGTGAACTCGCAACGAGCACTTCTCTTGCTCGCTAGGCATCGACTAAGGAAAGGAAATAAACAGAGCACAGCAGAACAGAAATCACGAAAAATCTTATGAGCCGCGCTGTGAACGCTCGCTTCTCAGATCTGCTAACTTAGAAAGGCTTCCAAAACGAACGTTAACTATAAATCTAGACGTTCTAATTTCGTAAGATCTATCTATCGAATCGACAACACGACGGGAAAGCCTCGGATACACTCGACTGGCAATCACAGGTATTTGTACGAAAAAATAAATTACGAAAATCAACTACATCATGATTCTACTAACCATAGGAGCAGTAAACAAGGGAAAAACTCCAATCGATCATTAAATAGATCACGACGAATCAGATCCACGAGTTTCACGGATTGTTCCCGCTGCTGGGACACGATAGTTCATCATCGAATCCGATGAAATCATCCCCAAACTGTTGGGGCGATTTGCTGTAGGCGTGGAAGCTGAATGCTCTTCGGGAACAGTCTCGAACGCTGCTTTTCTTAAATGTGCTGCATTTACGCGAAAGTCCTCGAAACAGGAAAAAATCTGATAATTCATGAAAATAAATAAATAAATAAAATTGGTAGGAAAGAATGATGTAAATGCGAGTCGGCTGCTGTACGGGGTTTGCACATTAATATTCCACTCTAGGGAATAGCCACTCAGCGTCTAGCCTACAATCCCCAAAAGGTCAGCCGGTACCAGTAAATGGTTGGATAATCGAGTCCCGTCTGGGATTTATGCCTTGAAATACGATTGAATCAATCTACCAGTGAGAAGGCTAGGCTAGGTAAGAATGCCTTGAAACAAAGCTATTTCAAACAGGAATCGATTGTCGGATCATCCCTGTGAATTAGTGTCTCATACTGAACTACCTATAGCTTGGTGAGAGAAATACTGGCGCACCTCTGAATAGTTAGTTACCAGTAAAACAAATCTGCGTACTTTTTCTGTTACTTGAATTAGGATTTCTGTCAACTTTGATCAGCAGACCGACAGCAAGCGGTGGCTAAACTCAAAACGTCAGTTTCGTTAAGAAAATCATTACGACGGGGAAATAGGAGCAGCGTAATCCCATCGCTGAAGAACTTTGCGAGTTTTCTGAACGCATAAATGTCAACTCTGCAGAGATCAAACCAGAATTATCTGCCTCAAAAAGGAGGAGGAGAAGAAGGAGAATAGCTCATTTGTATCATCAAACATTCGACAACCACTTATTCCCCACTGAACTGGGGCAAAAAGCAAAGAGTTGACTACCTCGCATGACGTAGATCATCGAAATTCAAAAAACTCAACCATACCACGATCCGAAGTTTTTCTGGCGCAATGAGGAGTCCATTGGCCGAGAAAAGGTAGTTCTAAGTGCTTCAACTCAAGAAAATTACAGGGCCAGAAAGATAGGGAGGTTATGGCGCATGAACGAAGGATAAGACGAAGAACACAAATATTCTATGTGGCTATCTACGGTATGGATGCTACGGGCAATGAGGGTATTGGAAGGTGAAATTAAAGATCACAGCTGATTCTCGAATCAGCGTGAACTGCTTTGTTTGAGCGCCTCCAAGTAAATAAGCACTATTCAAAGTTGACGATAACTTCTATAAAAACATGAATTATGAAACCTGAAGGGTACCTCTTGGAAGCTTTATCGTTAGCCTCCTTCTCTGCACTTTGCCTTTTTAAACCACGCCTCTTCATCAAGGGTGCCGCTTCAACGTCCATCAGATGGAATCCATCACGATTCGCAGTCAAGAACGCTTGTAAGGTTTCGTTGAATGTTTCGCCTTAAAAACAGTATGAAACTAATGGCATCATTAAAATATTCAAAGAAATCATCATATAATTCAGTAGAGACGTAGCCGATGGCTTGATTGTTAATAGGGAGGAACATACCGGCAAAGGAAGGCAAAACGTTGGGCGTTTGTAACGGAGTCTCTAACGAAGAAGATGAATTCAGCCATGCATGTCTGGATAGCTCTTGCATAGATAATCGCTTTTTTGGATCCACCGTTAATAACCCTGGAAAGAACGATAGTGCTATCGAATCAGGGTATAGGTGGATGACAAAGAGGAAAAATATAAAAAGAATTTTAAAAAAGATAAAAAAGAAGGTAAAGAAAGCAACGTCGCATACAGCTCAAGTCATCAAATGTATAAACAATGCTCCTACATCGAGAAATACGATCGCGGCTATTGTGTACACGATGGGTACATACCAGCTTCTACATTACTAACAAAAATCTCGCAAGAGAGCTTTGGAAACCTTGAATTGGTGCTCTTACTAAATTTTAGAAATGGATTTTTCAGACATGATGACAAACTATGGATCAGTGCCGAAGGTTTGTCCTTAAACTAGCCCCTGACTACATTTTCTTCATATGCAATGTAGGTTCAGTAATCCAAGCAATGATACCAAGACAGGAAACCAATGAACCTCACTGACTAAAGAAGTGAACTCTTACAGCTCAGTTCCACGCACGTTTCCTCACATCAACATATCAACAAGAATTCTGATTAGAACTTGGATATTGAAGTTCTGTTCTGATTCAAGTATCCGTAAAACGATGTCAAGCTGAACACCAGAAGGTAACCGATCATGACCGTGAGTTGATAAAAAACATAAAACACGCCCCATATATGTATTATGGCAGAAAAGGTACTGAAGTCCAGCTCATGGAACCGACGGGGCTCTTTCCCCTTGCTATGNAATATAGAGGAGGATCTACTCTTTCAGAAAACATATAACTTTATTGGGTTGGGTCCTTAATCTTTTGTACAACGGTTGATAAATCCGGGGTTTCAAAAATCGGCGGAAACTTTTCGGACAACCCAATATTATGGCAGAAAAGGTACTGAAGTCCAGCTCATGGAACCGACGGGGCTCTTTCCCCTTGCTATGTCGAACGTCCACCCTTCTCTCAGATAAAACGCAACGATGACTATTTACGCCTTCCATTAAGTTCCCATATTGTAGCTTACTAGCAAGGCAGTGGAGGTTTCTAGACGTTCAAACAGTTTCTTTGAAGGCTGCAAGCCGAAGCCTGCTTTGGGAAATAACCAGTACTTACTGACTCCTGATTGACTTTCTTCTCAGACTCTGTAGGAAACAGGTGCTCCCTCCTTTCTCCTGGCCTGACTCGAACCGAGACCCAAACGCACAAACGAATTACTAACTGCTCCCATCATATAATTATCGCACAATGATAAGAAGTAACACAAACACCAAAAAACAGCTGAACACAAACCATGTGATCTCAAAAAGTTTCTCGCAAGCTAAAGAAGAAGTCTATGGTGGGTAATGGGTCTCTGCGAAGAATTCTCAAAAAACAAGGAATGGAAGAATCAAAGCCAAATAAGGCTCAGAAAAAGTATGAGTAACAACAAGATTTTGAAACTCCTCATAGCTTCTCACCGTTTATAAGCTGTTTCGCCTCTGTAGACACGGCTTTCCACCCTTCGCCGTCGAATGAAAATTCTGCCTTTCTTATTCGCTGCATAATTTCCGTGGCTGACTCCGTTTTAGATCGAGCATGGAACGGAACTTGTCCGGACAGCATGGTGTACTAAATAAGGGTAGATTTTCATATTACGCAGCTCACTCGTGAAGCTCCTGAAATAGACAATGGAAACTTAAAGGCTCACCAAAATAACACCGAGAGACCACAAGTCGCACTGTTCATTGTATTCCGGCAGGGTGTCACCAAGGTCCAATACCTCTGGTGCGGCATACTGTAAGGTGAAGCAAGGGGTCCTGAAACGTTTTCGCTATCAAACAACTTTTACAAGAAAAAGACCCAATAGGGTAAACTAAAATGACGAGAACTTAATCTGATCTATTACATAAATAACTATACTGAACAAAACGCAACCAACCACAGATTCGGAACGGTTAGTGGAACAAAGTGCATTTGAAAATAAGCAAAAGCTGTTTAGAACTGATGGATTTTGAGAACGTAGCCAAAAAAGTAAGTTTAGTTAAATAAAAAGTGGTGAATAATAAAAACAAAGCGATCTCGAGTAAAAATCGAAAGGTGACCTCAACCAAGTGATACTGGTAAAAGGATAAATTAAGGTAAAAAACCATATCGAGACAGCAATGCCAATGTTCCACAACACCGCTCCAATTCTTCTACCCACTACGTCACAACATCTACACTTCACCGTATCGACAGAAACTAGGCTACTACTACATCGCGTACCACGTAAGTATCCCCCGTCGTCACTGCATTGACTAACTTATTCAAGTTCTTTCATTTATACGAAAACCATTCACCTATTTCTAGTTGGTTTCGTTCTACACCAGAAATTGATAATTATCATCAGTAGTTCAAAAACCCAAAAAAGGTAAGAGGAGACAAGAAGAATAGAGAGAAATAAACTTAAGGGAAAGCTAAAGAATGGAGTGTTCATAAAATAATAGTGACTTTGATCATAATTTCAAAAGACTGCATGGGTTACATGAACCTTAAGTGGTTTCTCGTGAGTGCGTCCATTTTTAAGAGCAAGTAAAAATCCGCGTATTTTATTGAGCGGAACTTCAGAAACTTTTAATGGATAAATTTTCAAGCTGTAAGAGATATGTATTCATGTGACCCTGACAAAAGTATCTTCCCTTTAAAATAGCTACCTGCTCGGTTTCGCGAAAAGTTAGTGAGAAAAAGAAAAACTCAAATGAAGTCCTTCAATGAGAGGAAGGGATTCAAAAAGAGATCGAGCTGATTATCTAGTAAAAAGCTATATGCTAATTATCCTAATTTGAGCTATCAAACGAAAGCAAAGTAATACATAAAGCAGGGGGGAAAGTTATAAGCTATTACTGGAAGTTCTCATTTTGTCAAACAAGAGGCAATCACACAGGGCTTGGTTCTGTGTAACTTACAAAAGCAAAACCTGAAACGATTGCATGCCATCAGGATGGGCAGAAAGAGGAAAGAACAGGAATCTACTAAAACTACTTGATCATTGTTAAAAATCGGAGGGTAAACCTGAGCAGTTACTAAGATTACTACTGCGGCGAGGACGAGGCATACAATACGTGCCATGCGATATGGGTTACGGTCGCGTGTCGTGGTGGGTGGGCTGGGCTTGTGCGTACATTTTCCGATAGACTGACTTCAGCTGCTGCTCAACGCATGCTGGTAACAATCGCGCAAAACCAAAATCGACCAGACGTAGACGAGCATTTGAATCTTCGCTTTCGAACAGGATGTTCTGAAAAATAAGCACAATGTTAGAGATTAATGTTGTCTAATACCCACAAGGAATTCACAAGTAGGAGCTACGATAAATATACTATAAACAGTATGTTACACAAGAAACTCTTCTCGAAGCTAGCAAGGCAAGAGAGCTTTTGCGGGATAAAAAACGAAGTGTCTGTCATATACGAATCTAGTTCGAAACCTTAACATCATTTCGAAATAGAAAAAACTCCCCAACGCTCCAAAAAGTCTTGCAGGTAAGGTCTTGGCAGTACTAGTAGTTTGAACAAATAGCAAGTACGCAAGTAATGGCGACAAAAAGGGGAATATAAATAATGCGCTAAATATAAAAAAAAAAGAATTTGAAACGCCTGCTCTAGAGAGCAGCATAGCATACCTCCGGCTTCAAATCTCTGTGAACAATTCGTTTTGCATGCAAAAAACCAACTGCAGAGACCAATTGACGCATAATGTCGGCAGCTTCTGCCTGAACGAATATCATAACAAACAGAGAAAATAATTGTATCGCGAAGCCTAAAAGATACTTGCCTCCGTGAACTTTTCAAGTTTTCTCAATCGCTGCAACAATTCTTGCCCCGTAAGCAATTCCATAACAATGTAAAAGTGCAACGGATCAGAATGAACATCGATCAGCCGCACAATATTAACGTGGCCTGAGAATTAAAATGTTCAGAAAAAGGAAATATTACGATAGCAGTGGCATTAGAAGCAGTAGGGCAAAACAGTATACTGTTTCCAGTGTCTTCAGTGAATCAACCAAGAATTAGTGAATGAACTTTGCATTGAATCAAATAAAAGTTATAACAACCAGCTAGTCCTACCTTTAACAATATCAAGAATTCTAGCCTCTCGCTGTGCTTGTGTAGCAAACCTTTGAGAAACGATTTTAACCGCAAAGAGAGCTCCGTCCTCTATACGCTCGCATCGCCTAAAATAACTATTCATACGACCACCCTTTCGTGTCACAAAAAACATAGAAAGTAATAAAAGTGAAGATTCATTAAACGAATACCTGACTACAGAAAATGATCCTCTACCCAAAAATCCTTTTTCTGTTGTGTCCAACTTGTATTTCCCGAAAAACGATGAGTTAGCAAGCAGTGCCTATACCAAAGAATAAACGTAGCCTAAGAACATTGAAGACAGTTGAACGCTTACTTGAATGTCTTCTTGCATCAATTCCTCTCCGATGATGTTGTTGTTGGCAAATATAACCGATGGCGAGATGTATGAGTAACCCTAAAATTTAAGCCACCAAGTGATCAGAAAAAGAAAATGAAGGAAAAAAANAAAAAAAGGAAGATCTGTACGCCTTTTGTTAACAAAAACACATTCTTTCAACTTCCACAAACACTTTAATGCAATTAAACCTACGACACCTCCACAAGGAACGTACTTATACACATGAGAATGGGAGAACTAGAAAAAGTCCCATCATTCAGAAGGGATACAAATCAAATCAGCTTCTGTTCCGAGTAGATGCAATAGGAATCCCAATCAACACAATAATGGCCATCATTACAACCTCACCCGAAGTGGATCCGCATCCATTTTTAGTCCTTTCATGAGCAATTTTGAGCAATGAAGGTCATCATAAATGCAAATCTTATCATGACGCCCGAGTTATTTTGGGGAAGGAAGATTAATTATATCCCGTTATAATCTGATGCTACGAGTTAAGGGAAAAAACAGGCCATTAGCGAAAGGTCGAGAGTTCTTGTAATGGATCAAATTATGGAAAACGAACGCGTTATATAAAATCGAAAGCAAAAACTAACCCTAAACAGTGTGTTCCCGTTGACTGGAGACTCGGCTGGTGAATACAGAGGCTGTTGATTAGTGAACTCAGTGGCAAAGTTTTGAACATCAAGCTGCAAATAAACAAGTCGGACGTTCGCGAATCAATTAAAATATAAGTACTATTCATGAAAGAAACTTATTATTACCTCATGTGTAACGTTTGGCACGATGAAGGGAGTGAGTTGACGTTTGGCTACCTTATCCCAGTCGAGGTCTCGAAGGAATCGGTGGCTACAGTGATATTGATCAGTAACTGTAAAACATATCAGAGATAAAAAAATTTACTTTTTAATCTCTTCGACACCATTGTATCCGAGCCGTTTCTCCAGTTTCTTTTCAAGTAAAGCCCCAATGAAATCACGTGCGTCTGGGTCCATATTTTTTGGAAAGGGAACCTTTTTCGTTATTATTCTCCTGAAAACGAATGTAAACATAACGCTAAATAGGACCGGTTTGAAATAAATGGGCTCATACTTGGCAATCTCCTTGCTTGAATTAGCGGCGCCATCGACTGTGAAGGGACTGCAACCGGTGAGCAGTTCAAAGGAAATTACACCCATTGACCACCAGTCTACAACATCAGAATATCCTCCTTCTGGTCGATTGATCACCTCGGGTGACCTGAAAACGACAAAATGAAGATCATTGCGAAAAGACATTTTGTTCTTGATAAGTTCGATTAGAAAACCACGTATTCAACAACTCGTGTAACCCTTGCATATGTATGAAGGTTTTTTTGTAAAGTACGTAATGAAGAAAAAGGCCTCACATGTATTCAATAGTTCCGCAGTATGAATTTGCCCGATCCAATTCCTCAGGCACTAGCAGTTTACTGAGTCCGAAATCAGTCAATTTAACGTGACCTTGCTCATCCAATAAAATATTCTCGAGCTTCAAATCACGATAGATGACCTTGCGCTAAAATAAATAATGATGACTTAAATTTATAGTGCTGGCTCAATTCCTACATGAGGTTACCGAGAGTAAATAAGGCTCTCTTACCCAGAATTAACTTTATAGGTTTCTTTTGAAAACCAGCAACAAAACAGTACGACGAAGTATGCATAATTAACCGTTAACCATAGAGATAAAAAAAAATAAAAACGGTAAAGTAGTACCTGATGAAGATTGTCAATAGCAACAACCAATTCAGCAATTATAAACTTGGCTGCTGCAACATCAAAGCTACCCCGGCTACATAGATGAGTGAACAATTCTCCACCTCGTACATATTCTGAATAAGCAATTTATAACGGCAGCAGCAGAAAAATTGCATCGAGCGTTACAATGATTATGCCTTAGATAGGCCTTTATTTCCAAATATTATGATTCCAGGTTTTCAGATTTCAACTGAATTTCAGGCATTACTAAGAAAAATCTCAAACGTCGCTGAAATCCGAAGAAGGAGGAGCATTGATGCCGTACGTAAAAGTTCTTGCACTCAATGTATGACCCGTTTTTGTCACTCCAGCACATTTCGGGGCAAAATGGTTAGCCATAACAGAACTATTTAAAATTGAAGCGTTAAAATGTGAAGTTGAAGAGTTGCAGTGTGAAGTTAGAGCTTCTCGAAAAATGAGTTATGCAATAGATGGCATCTGCTCAACACAAGCACCAAAAAGCATGCCCATAACAGTAAAAGAAGGTACGCCTCCGACCCATAACCAATAACATCGACTAAATCACAAACTAACCCATGACTATATGCAGTTTCGTGTCGGTTTGAAACGCATAATAAAGGTTGACAAGGAACGGCACGCCTCGTAATCTCTCTAACACTTGACGTTCAGCTAACGTGTGCTCCAGAGTTTTAGGCTTTGATAAAACCTGGAATGAATTCGAAATAGGTAGTTCCGCACTGGAACAAAAATGATTTATATGTCGACCTCACCCACCCTCATTTTTCTTAGCACTTTCATCGCATAGACCTGTCCATGGTCTTTGCCTCCTATTTTACGAACGAGAAAAACCTTCCCATATGCTGAAAAACGTGAATTTAGTATTCTTGAAACTCTGAAATAATTGAAATATGATCTCAAAGATCAGACTAAATTTACCTTAATTTAATTTAATTCAATTTAATAAATAATAAATGTATTCGCAGTTTTGCGTTTTGATGGGTTTTCCATGAACTACTTCAGTAATTACTAGTTGTTATTCAGTTCCTGCCCCTCGGAAGGATGGCAAAGATGCAGCTCTCACTCCGGCTTCCACATCAATTAGATTGTTAATCGTGGGTATTGCGAGATGATGTTATGATCAAGTACATTTTTGATTCCCTCCGCTAGAAGCCCTGCCAGATCTCCCAACTTGGCATGAACGATCTGACTAGATGTCACTCAATTAAGTGCTACTCGCCGCGATTCTCGCCTCATATGCGAAAGTCATCGCAGAATCGTTCAACTCCGTGGGAAGCACGAGTTCGAGACGAGTTGGAGGCCGGAGTTTTGCCTACAACCTTATTGTGATGAATGAACAGTCTCCACATAAACAGGAAAAGCGATTTTTCTATCCCAAATGATCAACGAAGTCATAACGATCGCAAAGGTGACCCTGAACTTTGATCGTTCTCCAAACTGGAGGTGAAATTTAATGGAGGGGAGTCAGCGCGAGACATGATTAAGACCCTCAACAGAACATCAAGGCATTAAGAACCCTGCCAAGCCTGAAAACACTAGAAGTAATTGCCCATGTACTAAGGCTCGAATCCTTCAATTGCCCGATTGTTTTCAATCAATCAGGTGGCTGAGGCAACACAAGCTCTTATATTTATTTTACACACCCTTCACGACACGAAAGCAGTGGTTCTGACTCGCGTGCTATCCTGACATTTATTGATTTCACGTGAGTTTCTGCGGATTATCAATTGGCAGCAGCATACCGACTAATGTACAAGTTTGCAGCACATCTTGAAAGTTTTCCAAACGTAATAGTACCCTACATGGAAAAGAAGCAGCACATCGATCGGCTCATAGGTGAATGCCAACGGGCATGCTTCGAAAAACAATAATAACACGCAGAGCAATGGCATGGTTAAAAAAGAGCAATACAGTTCCAGTTTGAAAAGAACTACAACTTAAATTCACACAATTTCATCGACCGTTCAAACTTCCTTCTAAAAATGGAAACTATTGAATGCGCATATTATAGCGTATATTATATCCATGAATATCGAATCCACAAATGGAAAATTCATTTCGTTTCCCGAATCACAAATTAAGAGAAAAAGCAGATTAAAAATCGGAAATCAGCTCCAAATATGCAAAAATTGGTAGCAAAAGTAAAGCAAAAGAAAATTAAACAAAAGTTCAAAGTACAAGAGAAGTGGGACTTACCACCCTTGCCAAGTACCCGCAACAACGCAAAATTCTCCATGGAGATCTTCTCCTCACTCGGCAATTCAGTAGTCATTCTTGCTGTTTTTGTGTTTAGGTCAAGAACCCGTATCTTGGCTAGAAGGCCTACAAAAGTCACATTGAGCTTACGGTAGAGGGAACGAGGAGCGATGTCGATGACACAAGTTATCGATAACGAAAAACGAAGCGGAAAGCTCGATTCGACAAATCGTAGGGAAACCGCACAGGATGATAGGGACGCAGATTCTGTGAGGAATAGCTTGGCAAACATAGAAACACAGCGCAGTTCTTCTGTTCTTAGGCTCTATTTCTCTGATTTCAAACTTCTGCGAAATCACTCTGCGCTAACATTTAAGGAGAAATAATTTTGGATGAAAACGCATCCGCAGTTTCACGAAAAGGACAAAGAACAGTCAAAAAAGCCCAGAAAACAAGCTCGTAAAAATGCGCAGTAATGGGCAAAGTAACGCGGCAGCATAAGTCA